AGTTGGAAAATAAGTTTAAGTAAATTTTCCAGAAAATAGGGCAAATGGACAAAGGAAAATTGGGAGTCCAATAACTGAATAATAGGACTTTCAACAAGAGAACAGAGAAAAATGAGAAGAAGTCACTAAAGAAAAACTCAAGACTGAAAGCATTTCATTTCATAAAGAAAAAGTCCACGTGTCCAATATGATGGATGAAAATAAACCCACACCAAGACATGGTATTATGAAATTTCAGAACACTGGGGGCAGAAAGCTGCCTCTCTGCATATCCAGAAGGAAGAAAAAAGAATAGAAAATTGGAATGCCTTCAGATTTCACATTAGCACCACTTTATACTAGAAGATGGTGGGACAATGCCTTCAAGTTTAATAATTGCTGTATAATTGTATACCTGGAAAACCATCCTTTAAATTTGATGGTAAAATAAAGATATTTTCAGATATCCAGGGAGCTCCTGAAGAATGAATTCCACAAAAAAAATGAAGAGGGAATTTTAAAAAAAGGAGAGCTGATTAGGAAATGGGGATCTAACTCAGGAGAGAGGAAAATGACAAATCTAGGATGACAGCAAGATGAGTCCACGATGCCCTTGACTTCCTAGCCAGAGAGCAACCAGCTCAACTTAAGGCTATTAAGAATTCTCCAGAAAAGAAGTGTAAAAGATGGAAGAGAATAAAGGTGAGTGAAAATTAGAAACGGTTAATTTGTCTGGATTAGTGATAACAACATAGAAAAAGAAGCAAATATGGCAATTAGTAAAAAAATAATAATACTTAGGAAAAAGCTGTGTGTAGCATAGAGACTAGCCATAATAACATAAGCACTGAATAGTGGTAGCAGATGAAGGACTGAAGGAGCAGGAGAAAAAAACCATTTGTGTGCCTACTTCCTAAATGGAAGCTTAGACCATTGATTGTTTTCAGCCAATCATTTTCTAATACATGCATTTGATGTTGCAAACTTCCAGCGGATGGATTTAGGTACATCCTCCAAGTTTGGAGGTATTGTATTTTCATGATTCCTCTTTATTTCTGATAATGCTTCTTTCTTTAGTTTCTACTTTGACAGGAGTACAACTTCATGGCTTTTCCTTTTATCATTGTCACATGTTATAGGGTTTTTTTAATGCTTTTATTTCCAGTCTTTTGGTGTCCTTCTTTTTAAGATTTGTCTCTAACAAAAAGCACATACTTTTTTGGTTGTCTAACAACCTTTATTTTTTAAACTGGAGTATTTAGTTCATTTACATCTAATATAAAACTGATTTATTTAGGGGTTCAAATATACCACCTTACCATTTGTTTTCTATTTATCACACTTGCTCTTGTTCCGTTCCTTTTTTTTTTTCACTTTTCTTGAGTTCTTTGGAATCAAACGTTTTATCATTTTTCTGTTTCTTCCTATGATAGTTCATTAGTGATTTAGTTCTTTTTTTATGCTCTTAATGGTAACCCTAGAAATTACAACTCGCATCATTGACTCTGACAGGCAAATGTAAATTAGTTACTTACACAATTTTCTGTGCAATTCAAAACCATTAGAACACTTTATTGCCAGTTATTCCCTTACCAAATTTTATGTCATGGTTTCCCTATTTTTTTAATTCTACATATATTTAAATGCCATGAAATTTACTACTATTGCTTAAAAGAGTTCATATTCATTTATATTAATGTTCTCAATTGCCCTTTACTCTTCCTGTATTTCCATTCTTCATATGGGATCATTTTCCTTCTATCTGAAGACCTCCCCTAAGCACTTCTTTTACAAGTCAGATAGTAAAGAATTCTTTCAGGTTTTATTTGTCTGAAAATACCTTTATTTCACCTTCACATTCAAAAGACATTTTTGCTACGTAGAGAATTAGATTGTACTTGTTATTTTTTGTCAAAATGCTAAACAGGTAATTTTATTATCTTCTAATGAGAAGTTAGCAGTCAACGTATTTGTACTCCTTTAAGGGTAATGTATCTTTTCTCCCTGGCTTCTCTTAAGATTTTATTATGATGTGTTTTTGCATATTTATTCTGTTTTAAGTTTGGGGAATTTCTTGAATTTGTGGCCTGATGTCTTTATAGTAATAATAACGGATATTTTGGAAAATTCTTGGTTCCTGCCTCTTCAGATAGTGCTTCTACTATATTCTCTTGCCCTCTTAGGACTCCAATCACACATGCTTTACACATTTTCATCTTGCTCCATGTATCCTTCATTATGTCTTCTGTGCTTTTCCCTCCATAATTTAGCCTGGATATTTCTACAAACCTAGACTCTCTTCTGCTGTTTCTAACTTCTGAGAAGGCCATCTGTTTAGTTAATAATTTTAGTTACATGTTTCAATTCTTAAATTTCCATTTCATTCTATCTTACAGATTCCAATTCTCTAGTGAAATCCTGCATTTTATCATCTATGCTTGTAAACATATATATATTACAGGATTTTTGTTTTGTTCTTTTGTTCTTTTTTAACACTCAGATCTAATAATTCCAGTACCTGTTTCCATTGTCTGTTTTTTCTCTTGATCCTGTCTCATGGTAAGACTACTAATTATGTTTTATTGAATTATGGGCATGATCTATGAAAATATGGATATTCTCTATTGGAGGTAATCTTTCTTAAGGGTGTTTTTTGTTTTTTTGTTTATTTGTTTTTAAGCTTCTTGGACTTCTTTTACAAGTCAGATAGTAAAGAATTCTTTCAGGTTTTATTTGTCTGAAAATACCTTTATTTCACATATGAATATTTTACTCATAGTTGGAATAGCAACAGCTTTTATTACTCAAATCAGGGTTGAGCCAATTCAAGATTGGGTTTCAATCTTAGTAACATCTGGTCCATTTAGGACTGGTTTTCCCTGTCTCCTAGGGCCCAGTTCTTTTGTGATACCGAATAGTCCCCTGAGGTGTTTACCAGGGCTTTGGACACAGACTTTCTTGTCCTCAGACCGTAAGACTGCCAGCAGATCCGCTTGGCATCTCGGCCTTTGGCAGCTGCTTCCTGCTCAGGAACTGGTGAATGCCTGGATGAAAAATATGGCTTAAAAAAGGTCACTTTTCTGCATATTGCTTCCTTTGTGGATCTTGGAATCTCAAATTCTGGATCCATGGTTATGTTTTTCTTTTCAATTTCTGGTTCACAATTGCCCATCGTTGGCTTATTAATTCCTGTAATAGTTTTTATTGGTCCAAAGAGACAAATAAGGTCAAATGGGTAGATGTTCATAAAACTAAATGAATTCAATTTAAAGGCAGATCTTACATTTAAGAGTATGTCTTACATTTAGATATTAAAATGAAAATATTCTGATTGTAATTCTTTTTTTGAGACGTCTGTGATGGCAGACCATGGTTGAGTTTTGTTTCCATTTTTGTCTATATTTGATTAAATAAATTGACAACCCACACCAGTTCCAAATACATTTTCTTTTAGATTTTACTTGTATTTGAAATTCAAAAGTATGAGAATTGGATTCTTTACCTCAGTCTATAAATCTACCTTCTTCTTCAACATTGGCCCATTCTGCTTTCTCCCTTGTCTATTGTTCACAGGCCGTACAAGCCATTTTTCCCTTCTTCCTCAAGCACTTTTACGTATGCTCTTCCCACTCTCTGAATTTGTTCCCTGGAAACATCCCCCTTCACATACTTTGGCTTCTCTCAGCAGTCAGGTCTCAACACAGATCCTCAGCACAGAGGACTTCCCTGGATAGGAAGCATCTTTCCCCTGGACACAATTTTTAATTATACATAATTTAATTAAATACTTGTTGACTGTTTGTCACCCTAGACAATAAGAACCATGAGGGCAGACTCGGTGTTAGTTTAATTCACAACCATTAAACTTCTTACATGCATCAGGTATAAAAAGGGTGGAGCTGGAGACCTAGATAGTAGAAGGATTTTTGAAGATTTCTTTGAGAAATCTGTGCTATAAATTCCACCTCTCACTCTGCCCCACCACTAAAAAAAAAGGGATGAGGGATTCAATCTGCTAACCCCAAACCAAGAAGAAATCTTAGGGATACCACATGAAGAGTTCGGCATGTGCCTCCTGAAACCTTGAAGGGCAGGGAGGTCTTGGGAACCTACCAGCAGAGCAGATGAGCAGACACAAACAAGGCAAAGCCTGGAGAATGCCTGGCTGTCGCAGAACTGAGGGAAGAGCGGAATTATCAAGAGAGAGGATTGTGAATAGCACAGTTCAAGGGGATTGCTGGGAAGAGATCCCTGTGGATTGGGGAAGCAGAGGAGAGAGTGTCTCAGAAAAATCCATCGAAGAGCTCACAAGAGAAGGAGCCAGCTTGAAGCACCTGCTGCACCAGACAGCGTGGGTACCGCACGTCAAAGTCAGGGCGGAATTCTCCTGCTTTTCCTCACCTCTTGCCCAGACTTGCTTTTCTGAAAAAGCACAGAAAAGACTGAAGAAGCTGAGCAACTTCCCTTCCTTATTCCAAGCCTTTTCATCATCCGCCAGTCCCAGTCAGGAAATGGAAGACACACATACTGAGATAGATCACGTGGCACAATTACATTCCAGGTGAAATCAAAGTAATGTCTAAAACTAATAGGATAATCAATAAATATGGAAGCACTTAGGCTATATGAGAATAGGTTGAAAGTGGTCATTCATGGTCTTTAATATATTCCTCTAATTCTTTTTAACAAAGTACATACTATTAAAATTAAAAAAAACATGAATAAATGCTCCTTTCCCACCCAAATTATTCACTGCAAATTATTATTGCACATTATTCAGACCCCACAGGTTTGGAGGCCACAGACACTCCCAACAACACCCCAAATCTGAAGATGGCCGCCACGATCTTGGAGATTTCTGTTGTCCAAACCCAGCCTATCAGCTCCCGTCAACCTGGGGCTCTGTGACTAACATTTAGATGTTTCCCCACCATTGTAGGGCCTTGGGGTTGTCTCCCCAGCCCCACCCGTCCGAAGGCACAGACATCCCACGGAGAGGAGAGTGGGGGGTCCTCACCTACCTGCCGGCCAGGCACCTCCGCAGCGAGTAGGACGCCCCACCACCGCACGTGCGGGAGCAGTCACTCCAGTCCCCCCAGGCGTCCCAGTTGCTGTCTTTGTCCTCATCTGAAAGAGTGTTTCTTGAGGTCTAGAGTGTGAAAAAACACAATAAATTACAGACAAATAAGCTAGAAATACCCCAAAGCTTCCCTAGTTTTTCCAGTCTTATTCTAAGCCGTTCAGAGACCAAAGTTGGCTAAAAATGCTTTGAGCTACATAGTTAAAAAAATACGAGAAAGTTTTTCATGGAAATCTTTCCACCTTACAAAGGTTTTGTCCAGATGGCATCTCAGCTCACGTTCAAATCTGAAATTTTACCATTCTGAAATTTAAGTAAATTGGCTAAATCTAGTTCTTATTTATTATGCTTGATAACTGACACATCAAGGCCGTAGCTTGTACCTGAGAAGCTCTCACCACTGACATTCTGACTTGCCTGTGTGTCAGACTGACTGATGCAAACACTAAAGAAACGTTTTTGCCTGGATTTGTGGAACCTCCTGGGACAGGATCCGTCCCAAGAAAACCAAGTAAATAAAGACTGAGGGCTCCCAAAATAGAGAAGAGTCCATTATGAATACAGTGCGGTTAATTTGTCCTCTGGACTTGCCGCCATTGACTTATGTCAGGATGTTCTAGAGAAAAGTAAAGAGAGTTACAAGTTTAAAATACAGAGAGAGATGGAGATGAAAAGAAATGATGTCTATTACTTAAAGTCACAAAGCTTTACTGAGGGGCCTAAAGTGGACTTGAATAAATGCAGAGACAGACCACATCCTAAATGGGTACGCTCATACCATAAAACATTAATTCTCTCCAAATTAATCTAAAAATTTATAACAACTCCAGTCAAAATCCCATAGGGGATTTTTTGGAACCTAACAAAATGATTATAAAGTTCATCTGGCGGACTAAGTGTCTACAAGGGCCAAGAAGAGAAGGGAAATTAGAGGGAAATTGCCTTGATTAAAAGAATATAGAATTGGCACAGCAATAACCAGATTTACTAAATTTTTTAAAAGTCTAGTCTAGAAACAGATTCAGTATAAAGATGTGATGTGGGATCACCAGGCAATGTGATGAATGGTTAAAAAAAAATCATAGGTTAACTTCTTCGCAAAATGAGTTCCAGATATATTTGAAATACTAAAAATGGTGATACCATAAATATGAGAAAAATTACAGATTAATAATCATATAGACTTGATATTGTAAAGACTGTTCAATATATGTTAATTTTAAAAAGTTATCAAGACTGATGGATTTACTTATGTTGAAATAAAAACACACATTTTCAATCTCTTCACCTCTAAAGACGTAGGTGTATGAACATACACACAAAAATGCAGTACTAAAAATACAAGTAGATGGACTGTAAGAAAACACACCAATTTGCCTCCAAGAATGGAGGACGCAGGACAAGGAGTGGGTGTTGCTGGGGACAGACCCAAATGGATGACATTCTCATCCCCCCTGCACCCTAGTAAAAGGTCGGATGCCAATATGATGACATGTTAAATCCGATGAAGGCAGATGTGCTATAATGGATGTCAGCTTTAACTGAGATTTCCTGGGCTTTGAACTTTTTTTTAATTTTGGGGATAAAAGGCAATCATTAGAGAACAATATAAGCCTATATCATTTTTTAATTAATTTTATTTTGGTATCATTAATCTACAATTACATGAAGGACATTATGTTTACTACGTTCCCCCCTTCACCAAGTCCCCCCCACATACCCCTTCACAGTCACTGTCCATCTGTGTAGTAAGATGCTGTAGAATCACTACTTGTCTTCTCTGTGTGGCACAGCCCTCCCCGTGCCCCCCACACTATACATGCTAATCGTAATGCCCCCCTTCTTTTTCCCTGCCCTTCTCCCTCCCTTCCCACCCATCCTCCCCAGTCCCTTTCCCTTTGGTAACTGTTAGTCCATTCTTGGGTTCTGTGATTCTGCTGCTGTTTTGTTCCTTCAGTTTTTCTTTGTTCTTATTCCACATATGAGTGAAATCATTTGGTACTTGTCTTTCTCCGCCTGGCTTATTTCACTGAGCATAATACCCTCCAGCTCCATCCATGTTGTCACAAATGGCAGGATTTCTCTTTTAATGGCTGAATAATACTCCATTGTGTATATGCACCACATCTTCTTTATCCATTCATCTACTGATGGACATTTAGGTTGCTTCCATATCTTGTAAGCCTATATCATTTTTAATACAGATAACAATATACATGCATGGAAAAAGAGTGAGTGGTGAATTAAAATGTTGCTGTGGGGGAAGGGGTGGGGGTGAATCAGGGGGATGAAATAAGGGGATAAAGGGGCACAAAATCCCAATTACAACATAAGATTGGTCATTGGAGATGAAAGCACAGGATAGAGGATATAGTCAGTAATGTTGTAACATCTTTGTATATGGACAGATGGTAACTACACTTGTTGGAGTGAACATCTAATAATGTGGATATCCGTTGCATCAGATAGCAGATGTGCTGTACACCTGAAACCAATATAATATTGTACATCAACTATATTTCAATTAAAAAGCAAATTGTTACCAATACCTACTTCTGTGGGGTGGGGGAGGGAACTCCAGGTGATTGTAACTTCTGTTTTTTTCTTGTTTCTCTGCAGCTCATAACGCTTTATTTTTTTTAAGCAAACACTTCACTACCTAAAAACAAGCTAGCAAATGAACAAAAACCACAACATGTATGTTGACATACAGAAAAGTTGGTGTCAGAATTTAACAGCTAAGTTCTAAATTGGAGAACGGAACGTTTATGAATGTTAAATACAAAAAACTGCCTCCCAACACTGAAGTAGATATTGCACAGGTTTCCTTAAGCCCTTAGGCCAAGTTCCTTCAACCAAAAAAAATAAATGAAGACAGGGATCTGCAGAAAGAGCCTTCAAAAGTGAAACGAAGAAGTAATAGCTAGGCACAAGGAGACGAATTTCCAATAATTTTCACCCAGGTCTCACCGGCCAGTGGGTCTCATGGCTTCTTGCCACCTTTTATAACAGAATAAGCAGCCTTACTAGACACAATATATCAGTCACAGTCATGTGAAAGGACAGGATAAATACCTGGCAACTGATCAAATCTGTCATCGGGAGTAAGGGCTAATTAAACCCACACTATTTACTGTTCTAATTAGACCACTGTTCAGTTCAATTTTCTACACTGACTGTCACCAAACAGAACTGCCTCCTGTCTCTAACATAATATAAAGTTTTAATTCATAAAAAATACAATAAGCAGTTTAATACATGCATCTGGACTTTTAGGTTGCTTCAGTCCAAATCATTTACGTAAACGTTTAAAATACACACAGCTGAAACTGATTTTTCACGTTGTCACCTGATATACTGATAGGTTGAATGTGAAAAGCTGAAAAACATCATCATATGTATTTTAAAATGAAAGTTGAGATTTCTTGGCAATATTGTTTTAATTTGTTTTTATTCCCACCATCCCATCTGTTCAGTTTAAAGTTAGAGTCAGATTTCTTTCCATAACTTGTCCACCTTTACGTACAAAAAATAAAAAAGAATCCTGATTCTAAAATAACTAAAATAGGCATGTTATAAATGCGGGCATTTGGTTTCTCTGGCGGGATCAGTACGGTATTTTCCCTTTAAGAAAACAAAGAAAATGACACCTCAAGAGGGATCCTCAACTTTCTCTCCTCTCCTTGGCCGCAAGGATGATTGCATTCTGCTTTGAAACCCCATAGCCATGTCTTCTGGCCCATCCACCTGCCCCTCTCCTGGGCTCTTCTTTATCTGAAAGTAACAATCATATCATGGAATCCTACCCAGTTCTCGTCTCTCCCCCTTGACACCATCAGCATGATGACAGCACAGACACTGGGGGCTGGGGGGAATTAGAGCAGAGTAAGCACCCCCAGGGTCGTTTCTGAACATTCACACCTCTGTGTTCTCAGAGTGACAGCGGGCCTGTTCCCTGGGAGCCACCTTCCAGAGCTGGGAAGCGAGTCTCCATCCTCTGCCCCAGAAGCACCCTTTTCAAGCTTCCTCAACGCATTTGAGGCCTTCGACCATCCCGGCTCTTTCACAAACTTCTTCTCTCCCTGCACACACTTAAGTTTTGCACATTTTTTATCTTAAAATGCATTGTCCAGAATACAACGCTGTATCTGGGAACAGCACAGTCTGTACATTGCCCCTGTGATCCAGGTTTCCTCTGATAAAATCTACGTTTCCTCCTCCCCTCCCTCCCCCGCCCCCCTCCCCCTCTCCTCGCCTTCCCTCCTTCCTTCCCCTGCCAGACCCACCCACTGCTGGATGGAGGCAGTAAAGCTGTGCAACCCTGGACACATTTCTTAACCCTTCTACAGCTCGCCTATAAGAGGGAGATGCTAATCTTTACCCCCAACAAGACTGAAATGAGACCACACGTATATACGGAATCACACAGCGTCTCCACAAACAGTGAACGGGTCCCCCAAGAAGCGTAGGCTATTATTCTTCAGAACAACGTCCTTTTCGAAACAACAACAGTGGAGCCAGCTCTTTCCCAGTTTTACTTTTGCAAGACTTCAACGTTCCTCACTACTGCATTTCCTCCCGTTGGTTTTGGACCAGGACCCCAGACGGCGGAGATCTGCGTGAGCCCTGATCCGCCACCCCGTCCAGGAGCCACTTCCTCGGCTTTGCGGCGTCGGCGCTCCGCCCAGTCCTGGATAAAATGCTGGACCAGCTCCCCAATCCTACAGAATTCCGTGAATGCCATTTTTGCTTTTTAAAATAGTAAGCGGACCACACTGCTCAGTAAGCAGCCAACTAATCGGACGTGGAATCTGCGAAAAGGGTTTAATGTTAGGATGAAATGAGAAATCACACCGATCAGCCCCATCAAATGCGGGGAGGCGGGAAGAAGCCGGCCGTTAGGAGGACCTGGACTGGGCGCCCTGGGATCCTCATTCCGGGCAGTGGGCGGCGAGGAGAGAAGCAGTCACAGCCTCATTCTGCCAGCCCCCCTTCCCCCCACCCCACCCCCCACCCACCACCCCCGGGCTCCGAGGTCTGGTGACAGCAAAATAGGGCCAATGAGCATCCGCTCGGAGCTGGCCTGCAGGGAGCCTGCGGCGCCCTCCCCGTCTGTGGGTTGGGCGCCACTGTGCCCAGCTCCCTCTTTTCAAACAGCCCCGTAGGCCGCCGTCAGCAATTATTTAAAGTTCGTGTCATTAGTACTTTAAAAGGTGAGCCGTTATCTGGATCCCATCTGCACGTTTCTCCCTCCGAGCCTGGCTCAGCCCAAGCACGTGGCTCCGAGAGCCTGCGGGGGGCCGGACCCTGCAGCGCGGGGCAGGAAGGGCTCCGGGACGGGGCCCTGCGCAGAGGGGCTGCTGGTCGTGCACAGGGGCGCCCTGCCTCCCGAACTGGCCCTCCTGGAGAAAAGGCTCTCTCCAGCCTCCCAGCGAGCCCTTGTGGTGGACATGGCCGTCCCCGCCTGACAGGCGCGGCCCCAGGACCAGGGGTCCCAGGTGCGGGAGTCCGCAGCACCCCTCTGCCCCACGCAGAGAAGCCTGCGCCTCCCGCTCTGATGCGCCGCTGGGCCTCCCAAGCAGGAGGCCGCCGGCCGCCCCCGAGAGCGTTCCGCCTCCGGCAGGGGAGCCTCGGCTGCCGGGCGGCGCTGCTCCACATTCTTTCCGGGTCTCGGTGAAGACTGTGACTTTATTTTCTCTCATCTTGCCAGCAGAGCTACACCTGTTTTCTGATATAACTCATTTAATCTAGGTTATTTCATGAGGGAGATGACACCTCAAGAGGGGCCCTCAACTTTCTCTCCTCTCCTTGGCCACAAGGATGATTGCATTCTGCTTTGAAACCCCACAGCCATTTCCTCCAGCCCATCCACCTGCCCCTCTCCTGGGCTCCTCTTTATCTGAAAGTAGCAATCATATCACTGAATCCTACCCAGTTCTCGTCTCTCCCCCCTTGACACCATCAGCCTGATGGCAACACAGACACTGGGGGCCTGGGAGGGATTAGAGCAGAGTAAGCACCCCCCAGGGTCACTGTGCGGCGCTGCACAACAGCAGACCCCAGCCCTCACAGGTGCCCAGGCCAGGGGAATGGCTGTCACCCAAGCATGCAGCAAGGATTCGCCAAGTCCGAGGCTCTGTGCTGGGGTGGACGAGCACAGGCCAGGCCCTCGAGACAGGGAGCCCCAGGTGGGGGGGCAGAACGCGCCCTGGGTCACTGGGCGCAGAGACACGAGAGGGTGAGCAGGGTCTACCTCGGGACAGCCAGACACACGCCTTCCCGGAGTCACGCCAGGGCCGCACGGAGGATGGGCAGCTCTCACGTACCCCCGTCCACGCTGCTCATGAGACTGCCAGTGATCCCTGCGTCCGGCTCATCCCTGTGATCTAATGGCGAGGGAACTAACACAGTCCTCGTTCCTTCTTTCAGCTCATCTATAGTTCCCAGTTTTATACCATGAACATGTACAGTTTGTGCAATAAAACACCCAAAGTTCTTTCTTTTTTCCCCAGGGGAAATAAAACTCCAGGGAAGCAGAATGTACTTTGTGTTGTTTGGTTAAAACTATCAGGCTTAAAGATCTCTTAGGAAATCATATTTTCCAAGTTCAAGCTAGGGAATATTTTGGATGAAAGGTTCAAAAGAGATATTGCTCACTCATTATATAATGGAACTGGTAAAAGCCAAGAATGCAGTAGGAATCACTGTGTTCACAATCTCATAAAGACTTGAGGACTTCTGGCCTTTCTTGAATCCTCACGTATAAATCAAACCATAAAATGTTTTCCTGACAACTTTTGTGACTCACAATGAATAGTATAGTTCTACTAGTCTTGCAAATACGTTAGTAATTAAACACAGATTTCACATAGAAGGTCACTTATTGGAAATGCTATATTAACAGCTCCCTATTAAAAACAATGCAAAATAAAATAAGTTCCACTGGGATATTACTTCCCAGACATCAAATAAAAGTTCATTCCAGTGTTACCACAGAGGTTATTTAAGGAGATCACAAACAACCCAGATTTTGTTAACAGTCAATACATTCTTCAAGGTTAATACTACCTTAAGGTTTAAACCACAAAAAATTTTCAAATATATGAACTGGGTAAATGACATAAAAATGTCACTCAAGCAGTCACACAGACTCAACAATCCAGTTCAGCCAGAATACATTAAATACCAACATATGAAGGCTGGGCACAGGCGCTGTGGGAAGGCTGTGCCCTGCTATCACACCTCTCCCCTTTACTGACAAGTATACACAGCAGGTGCCCCTTATCCAAGGGCTACGTTCCCCACCAGCCAGGAGATGATTCAAAATTTTAAAAAACAGGATTATAGTGGATAGGCAGACATGAGCAGAGAGGGGTTTAGGGACTTTGGCTGTGTTTACATTCAGTTAGATGCTTGTTTATAGTCTAAACATCCAATGTAAACTGTTCTCATGGATGTGGGGAGGGAGGGTATGAATACCAGACCTGCCAAAACTGGCTGGTTCCAACATGGAGGACATTGCAGGCTCATTAGCATACCAACAACCCCACCTGCCGGCAGCAGGACAGTCCTGGGAAGACCACTAAGGACAAAAAGAGGGCATCACCCCATTTCCCAGAAATCCCCTTCCCATTCAGAGAAAACCCCACCTGACCCAATGAATATCTCACCCTTCCTTAAACTCCAACCATAAGACCACCCGACCCAGCCCCTCCGGGGCTGCTCACCTGGGGGCACACCCCCACCCACTCCTGAGCGTGTACTTGGCTTTGGTAAACTACTCGACTTGTACCTGTTCAACCTCCTCGTGAGTTCTTTCTCCATGAGAGTCAAGAACCCTCGTGCAGGCTGAGGCCTCACCTAGCGTGCAGGGCGATCTCCCGGATGGCACTGCCCAGCAGCACTTGACGACCAGGAAGGGCCTCCTAGCATGGTTCTTGCTAACGGTCTGGGTAAGGAGGAATTCTGTGCTGCTCTTAGTGAGGCATTCCTTGTCTTATTCTCGTGGATCCTTGATCTTGGTGCGCTTGGGTTGACCATTTAAAAGCCACTAAGGGCAGTCACCACCTGCAATTAGTCTCCCATGTGAGGGTAAGTTGGTCACAGAACAGGTTAGACAGGCTCTAGGGCACCGCCAACCTCAAGACAATGTCCATGCATCGAGGTTCACCGTGATGCAGAACAACCTGCCCCACCTCGGGGCACAGTGCCCCCTTAGATTGTGGTCTCAGCGTCCACGCACGGTGCTCCTGGCACCTCCTCCAGGACTCAGGCGTCCCCCCAGCTCCCTGTCTCCCCCCGCCTGGGTTGGAGTAGGCAGTGAGGAAGATGTGACCAGCAGGAGGGGAGGGGGAAGCTGAAGCCGGCCGCCTTTCTCGGTGGGTTTATACCCTCTCTTTGCCTAAAACAAGGAGTAAGACAGAGCCAGGAAATCCCCAAGACTGATGCCTGCACACAGACGTGTCCGAGAATGACCTTGGCCCATTTACATGAGCATCAGCATTCCACCTCCCCCTGGGGGTTTTTCTGTCTGCATATGAGCTAGAGCCTGCACAGAGCCTCAGCAGTCACAAGATCTGAACCTGCCTAACCCACCCCTCACATTTTCCTGTAAAACCAAGAATTCAGATAAACAGAGCTGGTCCTGACCTTTCGGGCCACCCGCTCTCTCTCCGAGAGTGTACTTTCTCTTTGGTAAATAACACTGCCTTCTGGCCTTCTCAGCTTGCTGTATATCCCTCGTCTGTCTGCCCCAGAGGAGGGGTGAGGAAGATTCCCCCTGGTAACAGGAGAAGTCATGTAAAAGAAATGGCAGTGAGTATTTAATGGTGGTATTAGTCCATTTAAATAATGAGCCATGAACTGTTGGTATCTACTGGA